CCATAAACAATTAAAATACCCCATAAATAATTAAAATTAATTAATCCATTAAAAATCAACTATAAAAACAAACCCTATACATAAATACTAAAAACATTCAAGATGACAGGGGGGGGCAAAATCAATTACCCCACATGCCACCTCCACTGGTGCGAGCCCCCATCCGGCCCCCAGGCCTTCTGGGATAGCCAGGATTTCATACCTTTCCTGAAGGCCATGAGAGTGGGGACACACCATACCTCGGGAGGTAGGTTGTTCCACAGAGCAGGGGCCACAGCAGAATAAGACGCATATTGTGTCTTATTGCCAGATCAGTAGACACAGAACCATCATCTCAAACTCATTACAGCAAAGTTGTGAGTCAGACTACAATTGTCTTTGAAAAGAAAAAAGGAAACTACAATTTTCTTCTCCACAAGAAGTTTAACTTTGGGTTACATGGCAAAAAGAGCAAACAAATGGCAAAAGAACAACAAAAACAGTGTAGCTCCAGATCCTTTAAACCTAACATTTAGGATAGCTTCTCCTCTATTATTCACGAAGTATAGCAGGATTGAAATCCTAAGCACATTTACTTAAGAGTATTTCCTACTGCATTCAGTAGATCTGATTTCTTAGTAATGTGAGCGTGATTGGGTCACATGGCCTACTCTTCCATACTGAGATCTTAAAATATCATTATTCCCTAAAACAGAGAAGATGCCTTAAACTCATGTGGCCAAACAGTTTAAAAAAGCACCAAAATTCTGGCAAGAAAAATAGTGGTTTACTGAGTAGAACTATGAAACGTAATACATTCAGTAAAATAAAATCAGGAATCAATAGGAATCTTACAGCTGCAGATGGGAGGACAAATCAACACAGAGTTAGACCTAAATGTATGACTGCTTCCCATTCAGAATATCAGGCTAAATACAAAGAAAATATTGTAGATGCATAAAGTACAAAGAAACCACAAATCGTTTCAATATTTATATACTGACTTTCGAGAGTTTCTTCAGTCTTTAGCTCTTGGAGAAAAAGGAGATGAAGAGATGCTACAGTTTGATTCCAAATTTGGCCAGGTTAAGGTCATTTTAACCTGTGAAGGATTCTCCATCTGTGGTGATGGATTTTCCCTTTTACACACTTGATACAGTCTATATTGGGAAATTCAAATCATTATAGTCAGTTATCAGCCTCTCTTCCCCATTTGTAAAGTCAAAACAACTGCAGTAACTATTTTAGGCTACCTGGCATTTTAAATATGCTACTGAAATTAGTGTTATTCACTAACTGTACATTTACCTTAGTCATTATTTTTTTAATTCAGAAATTTTGAAACATTAGAGTTCCTTTTAACATTAGAGTTAAAAGGAACATTGCTAAGATTAAAAACAAAACAAAATTGGAGCACATAATCCAAGATTATATAAAACAAGATTGATTTTACTACCTTTAACTGCAAATCTTTTTACTAGGCTACACAGCATTCTGAAATTAAGTGCACCAAAGAGCAGAAATCATGAGTAGTAGGAATACTTTTTAGAATAATTACATTAAAGCTAATCATGATTTGTTATTACTTTTGCTTAAGGCCAATATATTTAGCATCTTCCATGCATAAGAAATTATATTAGCTCCAGGCTTGTTTATATTGTTTTCAAAATAATTCAAGTATTTTTTTTCCCCTTACAGCATTGTTTTCTAAAACGGAGAAGGGTCCTGAATGAAATTGGCTGAAGCTGTAGTTCAGTGAATATTTTACCTATCGTACCATTTAGTGAGATTTTTTTTCATATAAACACGCATTGTTTATCTTTGACCGGCCACTTCACTTGGTATGCCAAAATCTTCCCTTTCAGAGTGACTTATAATTAATGGGGAAAGAAGTGATTCATATTATCCTTGGATGCAAGCTGTGACTTCAGATGCTCAACACAAGTCCAAAACACACTTTGATTTCTTGCAACCACAAAAGAAGAAAACTTATGTTTGGCACCATGTTTTCATGTCTGAAGTCCTAAAATTACCCACAAATATCCACAATTTTAGAGGACTCATAAATTAACTGAGTACTGCAGCCATATTGTATGCACTCTGACCATAATTCTGCAGTATTTTACTACATAATTAAGTTGCATAAATGTAACCATTTAAATAATATTATGGATAGAACATCTAAATGCTGGTTTGAAAATAGCTACTTGGAATGTCAAAGCCACATTTGTTTTTAGCTGTAATTGCATACAAACAAAATAAATGAACAAACACTTTTTTTTGCTGATCCCAGTATAAAAAGAAAGCCTGTCATGTGTTGTAAATCAAGGGTAACCACAGTGTTTGGGATTGGGTGGAGGACACATTAGAAATACATCATCAGTTGGAGAGCCAAAGTTAATTTGAGTGAAATCATATGCTTCTTGGTAGCACCACGGTGAAAAAGATGTGATGGTTGAATAAAAGGTGGCCATGTGTCCAGCTTTACAGAAAATAGCCCTCTACTGGGACTTCTGTAAAGCATGGATAAAGTACCTGTGGCTCTTGAAATCTTGCCAACTCTTATCACTGACCTTCCAGTGGGGCTGATGAGAGTTGTAGTCTACAACTACTGTAGATTCTCTGCTCCACTGTTGTAATGGATCAGAATGGTTGTTCATTCCAAATCGGTTTAAAGCTAAAAAAGAAAAAACAAAAACAAAAAAACAGAAGGCTTGAAATTATCCACCAACAGTTAAAACTTCAGCGGCAGGCACAACAGATCACTTGGTGACCTCCATGGTGTGATGTATTTAAATTGTAGTATTTATTGCTAATTTTCTTATGCAGCTATAAATCAGCGTATGTAAATTTTATGCCAAAACATCCCTTTTCTGATGATATGCAAGCAGCCACTATAGCTATACGTTTTGCTGCTACCAGCTTTACACTTACAACAAGGAAAAAGAGATTAAGGCTCAGCTTAACAACTTTTTTAAAAATGTGCCAGAACCCAACAAAGGTGCAAGGACAGACAGGACTGTAAAATATATGTTTTTATTTATAAAATTTCCAGTCTGGTTTATTGACATTTGGCCCCAAGACAGTATAAAATAAGAAAATTAAACAATAAAAGTATACAATCACCATAATAGAAGAATAAAATAATCCAGTAAAGTCCAATGGCATATTAATTATCCATTCAAAAGCAAAAATATTTATCAGAAATTGTTAAAAGCAAGCTGAACCACTTGAGAACAGGTTGCATTTCACTATGTATCTATACATTAGGCATTCAGAAAAGTTAAAGCGTTGTGTATCCTTTGCCTATCATTCCTGATTCCACCTACATGTCACTGCACTAATCTCCACACCTAGCATTGAAAATGTGTAAGACAGTCTCATTTAGTTAAACCAGTTAGAAATTCAGCAGCTAAACTGTGAATCGGAGTCTTCTTCAAGAGCAACCTAAAGCCCCATAGACAAGGCATTACACTCATTTCCAAAATGTGGACGCTCCCACTGAAAACACCATTCTCCCTAGTAATCACAAAGGAATGAGCCCATGCATATACAGATGGCTAAAAGCACTGAAACAAAATAAAAATGTCCTTGCAGATGATCATTTTATGAGCATTGGAGGAGTGATAACAGTGCTGAAGCTTAAAGTCTTCAGTGCTAACACATCATAAAGGGTATGTTATAGATGTGTCCTACCTGGACTTATCTGGATCCATGCTATAAAATGTCATGGATCAACCCATATCTTTGCCTGGGTATGTGTGTGTGCGCGTGATACATATATACACACACATACATACATGTATATATACACACATACGTACATATAGGTAGTCCTCGCTTAACAACAGTAACTGGGACCAGAATTCCCATTGCTAAGCAATGCAGTTGTAATGTCACAACTGCACAATGTCACATGACCCCCATTGCTTAGTGAGGGCAATACTGGTAATCTCTGTTGCTGGGGGAGGATCACTGGCCATGAAGCAAGGACTCCCTCACAACATCCTGCTGGCTTCCAACAAGAAAAGTCAATGGGCAAGCCAGCAGGAAGTTGCAAGTCCCAGGTGGTTTACAAGCAGGCCTATGGGCAGGTAAGTGGCTGTTGCAGTGCAGCACAACCACAGTGGGGCCCGGGGGGGGGGGTGGCTGCTGCCAGGTGAGGGTGTGCAAGTGGCTACCGCAGGCAGGGAGGAGTCCTATGGGCACACAATCATGCACTGCAGGCTATGAGATCCTCAGAATCTTGTATTCTGTAGCCAGGATCCTCAGGAGAAAACACTGTGGGAGTGCGAGCAATTTACAGGAGCAACTTGCAACCTTCCCTGCTGGCTTTCCCGTTGACTTTGCTTTGCAGGGAAAGTTGCAAATTGTAATCACATGAACATGGAATGAAGCAACCGTCGTGTGAGCCATCGTAAATGTGAGCCGGTTGCCAAGTGCCCAGATCATGATAATGTGACCGTGGGAGTGCTGGGACGACTGGAACTTCGAGGACCAGTCATAACTACCACTCATTCAAACACCATTGTAACTTCAAACAGTTGCTGAACAAGTGGTCGTCAACCAATGCTAACTGTGTGTGTATATGTGTGTGTGTGTGTGTGTGTGTGTGAGAGAGAGAGAGAGAGAGAGAGAGAGAGAGAGAATAAATGTATGAAAATTAATTTTAGAATGAGGAAATAACAAAAGAAATTTAATAAAGGGCTTTGGTAGAGAATATCCTAAATGCAGACTTTTCAAATATATTTATTTTCTGATACAGCAAATAAATGTTTCATGGCATAAACTGATACGGTGGCCAAAATTCAGCACAGCTCAAATAAGACTTTACCTTACCAATAAAGTAAGAACCATAAAATTAGAAAAGGCTATTCTACAAGGGCTGAAGCTGTAGAGGCAGGATCCAGTGGAACCCAGGCTAAGGAGGATTGTTATATAACCCTGTTTCAGCCACCCAAGGCCATCAAAGAAACTATCATGTATTTGTTACCTTGGAAAGGCAGGAGAAAGGAACTTCAGAGTATAAATGCTGGAGCACTGCTATATAAAGGCTATGAATTCTTGCTCTGCAGTAAGCAATTTTTATGTTAAAGCTTCATTACTTTCTCTAATAAAGATTTTCAACTAGCTGAGTCATGCCTGGAAATCTTTTATCACATCCAGCCAAGAGCTAAACTATGGGTTAAGTATCTGGAAATGTATGATTTACTGCAAAGCACTGGTGTGAAGCCTGACATATTTAGGCTAAGTCCAACCTCCTGCCTAATTCAGGAATTGAAATTAAAGCATCTATGACAGACGACTCCCTAACCTCCACTTGGACACATCCAGTGAAGGGGGGCCACCATCTTTCTGGATAATTGGTTCCACTGTTGAACTGTTCTTGGTATTAAGAAGTTTTTTCTAGCATTTTAATTGGAGCCTGCCTTCCTGTAGCTTTAATTTATTATTTTGTGTCCTGCACTCTGGCACAAGAGAGATGAGGTCTTGAACTTTAACTACGTGACATCCTTTAAGTATTTGAGAAGTGCTATCACATACCCTCATCATTCTCCTCTTCTCAAGGCTAAATATTCCCATTGGCTCTATTCCTATACATAGGATTTGGTTGTTAGTTCCCTGATCATCTTGGTTGCCATTCTCTGAACCTGTTTCAGTTTCACTCAATCTTTCTTATAATATAGTACCAGTACTCAGTGTAGGACCTTACAAAGAAAAATAGATGGAATTATTACTCCTGTGATTTTGAAATGATGTGTCTGTTGATATTGTCTAAAATACAGGTAGTCCTCATTTAGTCACCACAATTGGGACTGGCAACTTGGTTGTTAAACAAAGTGGTCACTAAGTGAAACCATGACTGTGCTTATGATCTTACTTCAGCTTTCCTTTGCTTTACAGACCTGCAAATGTCATAAATGCAAGGATTGGTCATAAAGTTACTTTTTCATCACCATCATAACTGTGAACACTCAGTAAATGAGCTAAACATAAATTACCTGTAGCATTTGCCTTCTTCACAGGCACATCACACTGCTGGCCCAGTTTGCTATCAACTACTATTCTAAGATCTTTTCTGCAAGTATTATTACTAAGCCAAATATTCCTCATCCTATATTTGTACATTTGATTTTTGTTTCCTAAGTGAAGAACTCTGCTTTGTCTCTATCAAATTTCACTGTGTTACTTGCAGAATATTTCTCTTACCTGTTTTGTTTTAGATATTCACCAAGTTTTAAGGGTAACTACTTCAACTTCTTCTGTTGTAATTTTTCTCTCCCCAAGGGAACTGTTTGCAATTGGACTTTTAATATCTCTTATTTTAAGAACTCCCATTCATCTTGAGTTCTTTCTCTCTCTTTCTCTCTCTTCCTGTATTTATTAATCAGATTCAGCTTCTCCTTCTATGGAATCTTACTTATTCGTCATAGCTCTGAGTTTGTTTAAATTGGTCTGATTTTTAGAAATTAAAAATACCTGTTTGACTACACTCAGTTTCACTTGTCCTTAAAATCAAGAACTCCAGAATTTCCAAAATATTTCTGCAAATTCTAGTTCTTCAACTATGTCCTTTCTACTACTTAATAGAAATAAAAAATAAATAAAGTAAAAAATAACTGAATCTCTTGTGCCTCCTCCCATTCTATGAAGAAGAATGTTATCAGGAATTAACTGGAAGGACCAGATCTACCTCCCAATAGATGTCAGGGTAACTAACATCTCCCACTACTATGACTTCTTGCTTGTTTGAAAAATTTGCAGCTCAGGTTTGATGGTATCATCTATATCTTTTGAAATCTGCCTTTGCAAGGCATCATCCACATTTTGGGTCAGGCAACAGTGGACATCAACAGCAGTATTGCTTTTATTTGTTTCTCCATGTAATTTAAGCCATATGCTCTCTGCAGCATTGCCAATTTCATTTATTTGGATTTCTGAGTAAAAATTGGTTTTTTAAAAATAGTGTATTTTCTCCTCCTACTCTGAGCAAACTACATTTTTCAGTTGTTATATTTGGGAAATGGAAATCATCACACAAGATCTCAATTAAAGTAGTAGTAAAGTAGCTCAACCTTATCTTGTTTATTTCCCATACTCATAGTATGAGTATATAGACAATGAAGGCCATAAATTTTATGAATCAATGTAGAGAGTAAGGAATATGACCTTGACAAAGATATATAGGAGCTGTTGGTTATCCAAAGAGGCTGAAGCATTTTTTAAACTCCAGAATAGCAAGATAACATTTGGAAGTGGCTCACACAGACACTTCCCTCATTCACTGAAGTACACGAAGGAGGAGGATGTACAGCACAGACCTGCATGATTCCAATATTACAGTCAAATTCAAAAAAAGTGGCTTCAGCCTTCCTGTGGAGTTAATTTCCTGTCAGCTAATGGGGCTGACAGTCAATGTGCTTTCTGATTTTTCTCTGAGGACAAATCCTTACTTTTCATTTCTATCACATACTCTCCTAGTCAAGCTCATGCTTTGGCCGAATACCTTTCTACCAGTCCTTGTAAGGTGCAGACTATTTTGTGCCACCAGTCTACCATCTAACTATAAAAGAGTACATACATAACCTTGGAGAAGGAATGCAAAGGTGGTTATCAGCTCAGCCCTCAAAGAGAAGGGGAATGGAAAAAAAAAAACCTCAAGATTTTTCCACCTCTGTTCTCTTTGACATAAGAGGGACAGAGAGAAAATGTGTTATTATATCCTGCAACAATAGAATTCCAATGTGAATTGTTTCCTGAATCCCAAGGGCTTAAAAGTAAGTTAGACCATAGTCCTAGAAATCAAATCTCTCCCACTGACAGTACTGCATAGCCAGTCATTTCTGGTCCCCTTTCTGGTTCCCTTCCACAGATTGGAAAGATGCACAAAAATACTGCCTGAGCACCCAGGGTCATGAGCTTCCTTTTAAAATTTTTGGAGTCCAAGGTGATACAGTTGTAGCTGTTCTCTATAGTATCATTTATCCCTGTATGTGTTAGCAATAAGAGATCTCACTACTGCAAACTTAAATCCTGGAAGTTGTAATGTCATATCCCTGATCCTTGCTTCTGGCAGACAACATACTCCACAAGCCAATATGGTCAGTAGTGAGTCACCAACTCCCATTGCTTTTCTCTTGTCTTCCCATACAGCACAGTTGCATACTTTTTTTCTTTCTTTGAACTCTCATGTCATTCATCTGCATGGATTTAAAAACCATTTCTGAACTACAGAATATTTCTGTATCTCCTGTATCTCCTGCTTCCAGCTGACACTCTCATCTACTCACTCTGCTATTGTGTTTGATCCTATTCTTTATGGAAAATTGCTTCCATGATACATTTCTTTTGCAGCACCTCCTTTCTTTAAGTTGATAAATCCTTGTCCTTTCTCAGCACCTGAAGCTCATTTGCTTTTCTAAGTCTTTGATCTTTTTCTTCAAGGACTGCTATGAGCTTCATTTGCTGAAAATGTATACAGGTAGTCCTCGCTTAATGACTGCCTTGTTTAACAACTGTTCGAAGCTACAACAGTGCTGAAAAAGTAACTCTACAACCAGTCATTGTACTTACGACGGTCACAGCATCCTCATGGTCATGTGATTGAGATTCAGGCACTTCACAACCAGTGGGCTTTTATGACCATCACAGCATCCCATGGTCATCTAATGTCCATTTGCATGGTTCACAGCTGGCTTCCAATGAGCTGAGTCAATGGAGAACCCAGCAGTGAAATCGCAAGTCACTGTCATGTGATGTCTTGCTTAAACAACCAGGGGTGATTCATTAACAACCACAGCGGAAGTGAGGTCCTAAGTCCGTCATAGTCATGTGATGTCTCGCTTGATGACTGCATCGCTTAGCAAAGGAGTTGACAGTCCCAATTGTGGTCATAAAGTGAGAACTACCTGTACTAGCTTATTTGCAGGTAAAAAGACAAGCATGCCACAAGCACTGTAGGCCAAAATTCCATGCTCCTGTTCTTTCATCTTCACCTTTGCTTTTTAGAGCACCGCTATCGGAAAGGCTTTTATTTCTTTTTGTTTTGTCCTCTGCTCTTGGGTTAGTCAAATACAAATTCTTAACTTTAATTGATAATTTATTAGGGACTTAAACTCTCCTACTGAATTTCTCTAACAAATACCTGTTAGCTATCTTGTCACAGTGTAGCACACAATCTCTACAGACAGTTTCTCTCAATATCTGTTCAACTATCTTGACAAACTCTTATTAGCTTTACTTGTTCACTCACTCGGAGACTTTACTCCATGGAACCTGGCTGCTTTATATTCCTCTTACAGTCTCTGCTTACTCAGTAGGAAGCAATCACTCACACCGGGCATCACCAGTTCTTAGGACATCAGAATCTTGCAATCAGCAGCTTGTCCAGAGATTAGCTTTTTACCCCTCACAGCTGAGCACACAATCAGTCACAGTACAGTTTCTCTGATCGCTCTTTACTCTTGTTCCCTTTGAACTCACCTGGCAAAGCTCCTGTTAGCTATCCCTGTTCAGTTGCTCAACTAACTTGTTTAAAAAAAGAAAAGTTTTATTATGAAGAAGCAGAGACACTAAGCAAAGAACTTCATACAAGCCTCACTTTAATAAAACTTCTAATCAACTCCTGGTTTGTGTTGGATTAACATATAAGAATGTGATTTATACATTAAAATTAGTATATCATAAAACAATAGCCATGTTTCATGCTGAAATACTTCCATTTGAATCATAGTTACTAACAATGAATACACCCTTCATATTGCCATCATGAATACTGTATAAAATTGAGAATAAACTAAAAGTAAAATTAGAACACATCTTTATACATTACAATATGTCAAAATAACAAATGGTAGACTTGTCATTTTGAGCAACTAAATGTCCAAATGATCAGTCAGCACTCCTAATGCAAAGGGAAAAAGCAAACACACACACACACACACACACACATATATATATAACTCAAAGCCACTGGCTTTGTTGGTTATAAAGCTGCTGCTCGATTTTTCATCCTGCCATTCTACTCTATTAGCAAAGCCTAACACAATTAGGTATGAATATGCAGTAATAACATGCAGATTGTTCCTTCACAATTGCCCCAAGGCAGCCGTGTCAGCTTTTCTGCGCCTGATTCCTTTGACATCATTACAGGCTTGGCATAATTCATTGGGGGAGGGGAGAGAACCCCTCCGCCTTTCTTGCATGGGGCTAGCTAGTAAAATCATTAGTTGTTGTTAACCATTCTCTCTCAATAGGTTTGTTCACAGTGCTCCCCAGCTCCCTGCCACTCCTGCAGTTGTACATGTTTCCCTTGGGTAATGTTAGACACTACATTTGAGCCTGCCAGAACAATTAACCCTACTGTTAATTAGAATGAAATGTCAGGCGCACAGATGGTACAAGCTGGCACCCTGCCATCCCGCCAACTGCTGCTGAAAGCAGCTACCCTACTGCTGACAGCTGCTCAGCCATGTCCCAAACCAGCAGATGTCAGAACTTTCCAGCTGAGGAAAGCTTTCAAGGGGGGTGGTGGGTGGTGGTGGTGGAAACTGAGAGAGAACAGAGGCAGCTAGAAGAAAAGGGAAAAGGGGATGTCTGAATCCCAGCAGTGATTATTACAGTTTTATCATCACTGTGTTCTCTTACCTGTTGTCATACTGTATCAGTCAAGCAGAGGTTTAACAAGCAGCCTGATGCAAATTAAAAAAAAAAAAAAAAGAATGACACTAATCAGCAGAGCGAAAAGCAAACATTCTGCAAAAGCAATATTACTGGAGTATAACCAGTGAAGCTAAATATAAGTTTCGAATTATGTCGAATTGCATATTCTAATATGTCGAATTGCATACTACTTTAGGGTAATTTTGGAATAACATTTTAGGACACAACTTAAAAAAAAAAATCTTGGTAGCTTTACATGCAATATGTTTGAAAGGAATTTCTTGTCCTTTTGTGATTCTGTATACAGTCCTCCAAGCAGTCCTACAGTCCTAAATGGTATAGTGAAATCTGATAAACCTTATATATAGTATTGCTAAGCAATTATATTTGGGATTTAAGCCAGAGAAAATATTCTTCAAATTAAGCAACCAAAACAACACCATTTATTGCATCTCACAGGTGGATATATATTATATTTTTATTGTTCCAAATGTTATAGTACAAAGTGGATACAACCCAAAAGCATTCCTAACACACAAGATGATGCATTCTCATATAATTCTGCAACATCTCCAATGAAGAAATTTCAGTACATCTTTAACAAGTAATCAAACTTATTTTTGGTTATTTATTAGGCATAGCAGTCTAATGCTATGCAGAAAGTATAGACAGACTTATAATTCAATCCACTTCCTATCTGTATTCTATATGTATCATTGTATTTTATATAATCAGTTTATACATTGCATTAAGTTACAATTAATTTTAAACTTCTGTAGTGCACACAGTGCAAACATGATAAGAATTCTACATAAGCATGTCTTCCAAATAGTCGGGAAAATTCTAGTTCATACACTATACCTTGAATTCTTTGATAAAATTGCATTATATAATGTTTATAGAAAGAAACCCATACATAGTCAGCTGTATGTGGAGAAACAATACAGAACAGTTGGTTACAACAAAAATAAAGTATTTGTAGTAACTGCAATATTGTATATACATTGAGAATAAACATTAAACAAAGTAGGATTTCCTTGGAGTAAATATGGATAGGTTTGCTAATTAAAGATTAGTGTGTGCACTGCAGCATAGTTTGTTGTAGCCAACAAGCAGCTTTATAACATTTGCCATTAGACTGCTATACAACTATTTTCCATTCATGCCAAAAAAACAGATTCCAAGACCCAAACACCCACAGTTCATTTTATTCATTAGGGTAGCCTGAAGCTGAGACCATGAGGGTCATCTTGCTCTAGACCCAAAACTGTTTCTCAATTTCATTATAATACTAAACATTCTTTGATATAAAAAGAATTATCACACTATTTCAAAACTTAATTTATATAAGAGCTGTGCTGGTCCCCAAAGACATACAGTAGAGACAGAAATCACAGTAACTAAATATGTTTTGGGGGCAAAAAATCTACTGTTTCTTCATGTTAAAAAAACTGGTGGCTTCAAAATAAAGTGTAAGCCCATTGTGCTAAGTATCTGCTAAATGGAGAGAAAAGAAATTCTACATTGAATAGATTAGCAAGATATATCAGAATGATAAAATATGTCATCACTGTCTAAATGTAACACATAGTATCATAATAATTCAATAATCAAATTTCAGACTTCTGAAAAGGAAAGTTCAAGGGCAGATCAATGATCTTTTGTGAAACTAAACAGAATTGTTGCTCAGAGATAAAGAGAAATATTGTTAGGAATTAAAACATCTGAAATTTGCTATTTGAAGATTTAAAGCCATCTGTTCCTTGATGAAGGAAATGTATTTAATAATATCAAGAAAAAGTTCTTTTTAAAAGCAGTCTTATCAAGCAAAGCTATTTCAAGATTCTGTTCTAAAATAGCAAATCAATATGTCACACACAGAAACAGTGCTTCCTGACTCTATATCAATCCTATTGTGTAGGAATGGCTAAAATATACAGAACTACATGCAACATTTGGTAACATACATATGACAAGATTATCATTAATGTGACTTCCAAACCAAATATCAAAGTCTGGGAGACAAAATTGTGATAAGACACCAATATTTATTTTACAGCCATCTTGTAGGCAAACAAAGATAATCATCCAAACCCACATCTGGCTACCTGACATGCCAGCAGAAATTCCAAAGAAATGTCTGACATGACAAGACTAATGGCTGGAAGTGACCTCAATAAATGAACATAAATGACATTTCTAGGACATGGCTCATAATTTGAAACTTCTCAGGGCACCACTGAGGAAAGAATATAGGACTAGAAGAATCCAGCCAGTAACTCTGAGTTGGCCAAGAAATAGATTTTAACTCTTACATGACAAAAATACTGCTAGGGTCAATCTACACATTGTATTAATTACAACAGTATGCACTGCTGACCCTCTTTTCTTATTGTCTCCTACCTCATCTCTATCATTTCCCTACAAACACAGTCACTGCCTTTTTTCTCAATAAAAGCTGTTCATGTATATCAAACAATCCTCTAAAAACATACTGCATGTATCTGATCCACAAAAGCGTATGAAATAATAACTTCATTAATTATGCCACAACACTTATTCTTTCTGCAGTAGACTAATAGAGCTTTACCTCTGCTATCTGTTTTCAGTGACATGATCCCTTGCCACTCCATTCTCAAAATTTCTCTGTCCAAACGTGGTTAGAATCAGGGAGGCCACCCTGTTTCTGGATGGGAACTTTCTTCTTTCTTCCAATCCTGTAATAGAAAATTGGGGATTTTCAGGAACGTGGCAAGATGGGAAAGATTTGAACTCCCCATTTAATGCGTAGTAGTTCAGTTCAGCTCACCTCTATTTGAAATAAAGTTAAAAACACAAGGCTCAGTCACAGAGGATGCAATCACTGAGAAAGTTGCTTCTTTCTAGACTGCAGGATGATTTGGTCAGTGCCAATGATACCAGCATCAAGGGAAACAAGAGGCTAAGGCTCCTTCAGGATAGACAGGAATTCCTTCTGCACTTCTAAACCAGGATAGTTTCAGTTAAATGCAGTTTGTTATGCTTATCCTCCCCACTCCCCCAATTATATTGCACAGGGCAGAGCAGAATAAAGAGTTGATTTCTACCTGCTCTTTAAATGGACTTTATAAAACTGCTAAGCTACTGACAGTTTTTCTTCTTAACCTTTTCCTCATTTCTTTAACAGCAAAGTGACTGGTTAATTTTGTAAGGTAAGCCAAAGACACAGATCTTCAATATTCTAAGCATCAGAAGAACACCAGCTTCTCAGAATCCACTGTGGCTTCATGTGCTGTATTTAATAAAATTTGATCCCTCCTTAAAGAAGTATGCTGAAATGTGTATATAAAGCTTGCAATCTATCAGATTTCATCTTTCTTTGCACATGCAACAGCTTTGTAAATATGCAACTCAAATCATTAAGAGGAAAGCAGTGACACATAGCAAAAATTAGATAACACTTGCTTTCAAACAGCTTTATTCTCCTTATTTTGAAGGATGAATAGAGATATATTTTCCCTTTCCTGAACTAAGATACTTGAACCGGTGACACCTCACAAACAACTGTGGGTTGTTTCAAGCCCATATTAATCCTTGGGGCATTCAATACATTTAAATGAATCAAGGACACTGGTTATATGCCTTAGATTATAGACGTTATTATATGCATGCTGAATATATCTGAGACAAAAAAGAATCTCATTTATGTTGTCAGGGCATACAGCTTCAGGCACAAAAGAAAGTATTTTCTCTGGGACAGTAGTCAATCTACATAAACTCTCTGAAGAATAGCCTAGTTTTGCAATTCATGTTCACTATATCTAAATTGTCTCCATGACTCTAAAAGAAAATGCTGATCAAAGCACACACTTTGCAATGTGAACACAGATTACTACATACAAATACAGAAGCTAGTGCACTGTCAAAAATTGCTTCAGATATGTTGCAATTCTCATGGCAGTGCATTTAGAAGACTAAGCAAGCCATCCCCATTAATTACTCTGTGTATACCTAATACAGGTAGTCCCCAGTTTAAGAACGAGTTCCGTTCCCAAGGTCTGTCCTTAAGTCAATTTTTTATGCAACCCAAACAGTATTATTGTATAATACTATATAAGTGGTATTGTGTAATTAATTCAAATCATTGTGTATTTAACTCAAATTTTGCTACAATAGGATCCGTTCTTAACTATGGGTCGTCTGTAAACTGGTCATTCTTAACCCAGGGACTACCTGCACATGTGAACTTATTAATTATCATGACTGAGTAGTTCATTGTGCATTCATTCAAAACCAATGATTTTACTTGAATACAATACCGAAGTTTGACTCAGTAGCAAAGAGTAGCACATTTGTCGGTAATGAGAACAATAATGTATGAAAAAACCCTAAGAACACTGAATAAGAGATACAACTAAAACACTCACTTGTTCTGAAAATTCTCAAAGCAACTGAAAGCTCCAATTCAGCTCCAATCCCTTCTCCAGCAACACAGGGATAATAAGTATTAGACAAGTCAAGAAAACTGCAGTTTGAAAACAAGTATAAATAAGAATAGTTACAGTGGATGCAGTACAATTATAGTGAAGTTGAAGATAGGACCATATAGATATAAAACTCTTTGTGCATGTGTTTATAAATTTCAAGATCCCATTGGTATTAAAACTCCTCCCAATCCCCTTCTTTTTATGGAGATCCACCCAAACTTTGAATAGCTGAAGAGTATTGAGCATGGGTCTTTGATTCAGGCTCCGTTCAGTGAAGCCAAAGTACCCCAAATCCTGAAGTCTGTCCATTCTGTTCTAAAATCACAGCAAGGAAGCAAGGCTGAAACCTTACAGTGACTACTGTCTTAAGGCAGAGTTCGCCTGTGATACATTTATGGCCATCTGCAAAAGAATGAAAGCCTGACAGATACAAACAAGCACTTGCTCCTTGGCACCAATCCAATTCAGCAGGATGGGCATTACTGTCACATTGCCAAGATGATTAATCTGGCACCTTTGTAAATGAACATATTTGATAATGTATCTATACAAGTTGTATCTGCAACAAAAAGATGCTGGAAAAACTGTAAAATGATGTAAAGTTACACATTTTAAATGCTAATATTAGGTATTTGCAGAATATTTTGCATGTACACACTGAAATATAATAATTTTAGGCTTAATCTAAATAACTCTTTAGAGGAGCCTGATCTATTAAGTAAGGTTCAAAGCACCACACAACTACATATGTAAGTATGACCTTACTGTTGACCTTACAAAGCACTTACTATCTTGTTCCCCTCTAATAATGTCTCTTCCACTACAAACAATTTATTCTACCTCACGTTCATCAAGTGGCCATAAATCAACATTAGACCCTTTTTTACAGAGTTGCTGATTTTTAACTTGCACAGACTGCACTGGTGTTTGGATGCGAAATCTAATATTGGCACACATATTGATTTTAATTAGTCTAATTAGTTCATTACACCAAAAATCAAATAGACCATTCATTACCTTCCAAACTAATGGCATATGATCAAGGGTTTCATATGATGAGTTGGATCAATTATCATTCATAAAGGAACTCATTAACAAGTGTAAACACTGCCAAGCCTAATGCCACTGCAAATTATGAAGCCATGGCTTGGCCATTTGCATAAGCATACTAATTTTATATCCTGATCATTTTATTCCAAGATCTACCCTCTCTTTAATGCTCATTAAAATTATCCAATTTAAAAATGAAGCTGTTAAACCCTGGATTTAAACCCCATGGCACTGCCTGTAATCCAGAGGTTTAAATACACATATTCTTTATTAAAAGCAGAGTTTTTTTGGGGGGAAAAAAACACAACAAAAAGCAAGCTTGATCAGATTGTTTAAAGCCATGAGCAGAAAAAGAGAGGAGCTAGGAAAATGAGAGGGCTTCTTAGTTGGGAGAGTTTTAACCCCTTGGGCACCACTTGATATACTTAGCCACATTTAAATCAAGGCGCCTACTGCAGCTCTTCTGACACTTTGGGACAGAGGTCTCAAACTCATATAGTCAGAAGTGCTGCATGAATTCATTAGCCCAATGGCCACAACACTGCAGCCTTTTCATACATTGATACAAAAATCTCTATTGAGTCAAAAATTAACAAATGATATGTCTTAGAATATAAATTCATTAAAAAAAATTTAAAAAATGGTGAAACAGCTGTGAAGTAGCAATTTCATTTTGTCCACTTTGCAGCATTTTTCATTAAACAGAACACCAACATCTAGCTTTATTATAGGGCTGACATACAACTTTTTTTTCCAACTGTCCCACAAAGAGCTGCCCAAAGCTTTTTTTTTTTCTTTTCTTTTCTTACTCTTGACTGAAAAGAGTTTTTTCTCCTTTTGGGGTTCCCTCCCCCCCTTGTGTTTCCTTTCTTCCCCTTTGTTCATTCCTTCCTTCCTTCATCACGCAAAGACATATTGCTTGCATGTTCACTGCCTTTCCCACTCCTTGCCCAGCAAAGAAACCTTTGTGGCAGAGTAACCAAGCTTGGCCTCCTTCTTCTAGGCTGCTTCCTCCTTCCTGCCCTTGTGCAACCCCAGCTTCCTGGTTCATTTTCCCTGGCCAAGCCTCACCTCCTTGTTACCCCTGCTTGAGAACCTGGTGTCACCTCAGAAGCAGCACCTGCCATGGAACAGATCACAAAAGCAAGGTGGGGTTTCCAGGGAGCAGGGCTGCTGACCAGGGTCTGCTGTTGCTGGGACAGCTTTCAAGTTGGGCCAAGGCAAACCACCACGCCCATCACCAAGCAGCTCCTCTTTCTGGAGCACTTCCAATAGCCCAGATTGTGCATCTACAAGGCCTTCAATGCTCAGTCCTGCTCAACAGTATCTACAGTGCCTAGAGAGTATTGCTGTGGGCTTCAGAAAATTAATTAAGAGTGCTACATGTGGCCTACAAGGCGCAAATTTGAGACCCATGGCAAAATAATACACACACACACACACACACACACATATTAATAAAAGCAAAAGCTAAATAAATGGTCTTCCAAATTCGTTTGTTTACACATATTCTCAAACCTCTGAAAAGAATTTTTAAATTACAAAAGCCTTAAAATAAAAACCACTGCTAGTCCCATCATGCCAGTTCTTCTGCTGCCAAAACAGCATTACCCACAAGCACGAATATGTAGGCAGGTCCAAGGTTTGCAAAAGTAAGAAAAAGATCAAAGGAAAAAATTAAGGAAAAAATATCTCCAAAATTCCTCTTCCCAAATGTGGTTGTTCCATTACCATAACTACTGTTAGAACAGCCAGAATAACATCTGGCCAAATGAAGGTAAAATGAATTGCACAAGACTCATCAAAATATTGTGTATGGTTAAAAAAATAGGGTATTATGAAGCAGTAGCAAAATTACACTACTGTATTGGATATGTCTTGGAGCAGTCTCTAGGAATTCATCTAGACATAAGACTTTAATTGTGCTCTTGCACTATCAGAAAGTCAGCCCTTTTAGAAGCTGCCTGTGATTAGAAATTATATCTTTCTTCTTTCTGTTTCATTATCTTACCTACTAGCGCCTAGAGCTGACTGCTAGCCTCCCACAGCAAGCTTCTAGAGTTGGCTGGCCAACTGCCTGATTTCTTAGTCAAAGAATTACAGATTCATAGAATAAGTATGTGATGGGTAAATATATAAGGAGAACATACATTTAATAAGTAGAACATTTAGGAACATCTGCAAGACATTTGTTTGTTTATTTATTTATTTAGATAATTGATATGGCTGCCCACCTCATTGAAGTGACTCTGGGCAGTGTACAAAAATTAAAATACGACATAGCGTGTACACTGTGTTTGATTTGCCATTAAAATTATGAGGCAGCACAGAAGTGGATGGATGGATAGACAGACAGACAGACAGATATATATAT